AAAAAAACTTTCCAACCAAATAGTGGTAGTTTAATTGTAAAAAGATTCAGGAGAAAGAGGTAAATCTTTTCAAAGTGAGTCTGATTCTTTGTAGGAACACTTTTACTTCTATTTGGCCAGTCGAAATAATATCACGATTTAGGTCCATTAAAAAACTCGGTGAGTAGGCTATTCGACGGCTACATTCATCCTCGGAGATTAGTTGGGTGGTAAAGACCCAAATACCTCTGTTTATTAAAAAAAAATAACTTTCCTACAAATTAGTTCTTAAAATATTTTAAAAGTGAGGATTTTTTTTTGAACATTTTTTTGGCATTCCCATAAAAAAAAATGTTATGTTTTTTTTTCTCCAAGTGTTCCCCATAAAATTACTTAAATTTATTCATTTAGGATTTTATTCTAGATGCATTGATAATGTTTTTTACATGGGTGGAATATGATTTTAGGAGAAATTGTAAAAATGCCACTTTTTATATGCACATTTGCAGAAATACTACTTAGGGGTGTTCATTTGAAAAAATGCCACTAATTATAGATTTTTAAACCTTATATCTTAAAATTCTAAACATTAAAAAATGTTTTGACCCCTAAACCCTCATAAACCCTCGTAACTAAACCATAATAGAACATAATTAACTCAAACATAAATAATATAAAGAAAAAATAATTTTGAAATAGTGGTATTTTTGTAAATATTTCAGAAGTGTGACATTTTTGTAAAGTGACACTTGAAAAGTGGTATTTTTTGAAATTTTTAATAATTTTATTCTTTTTCGATAATATTTATAGCTATGACTTACACAGCTATATCAAATATAGATTAGATTTGAGATATCCCTCTATTAGATTTTGAGTTGTGTAGAATTTTAGGTCAAGTGACAAATAAATACTTTAGTTTTTGCTCAGGGGGATATGGATATATTGAGATATATTGAGATATACATATTTGTATATGTATAAAATAATTAACGTAACTTTATCTCCCAGAAAATCATTTTTCTTTCGATTTGGTTTTCAGAAATTGTTTTTTATCCGTTGGTTTTGTATTTTATCCAAAATTTGTTTTTTAAAAGTTGTGTGACAAGAAATTCCATGAACTTTTATTGTCCTGATTTTATTATACATTCGTGGCCGGGGAAATTTTTTTTACATATTTGGTAGTTTTCACGTGGATATGCACATGTTTCGACTACACTTTACTAAATGTCTCTGTGTGTATATTGTCGATCTTTCC